GTTTTCACAGTCTGAATAAAATCATCTTTGTGGCACATTATAAGACACTTATAACCTATTTTTCAAAATTACTAAACCATATCTAATGGGGTTCAGTCAGTAGGCAACAAATTATAGAGAAAAATATATAAAGATATGCCTCTTAGAGAGCCCAGCAAGCTGCTGAGAGAATCCCACCTGCAGAGGCAGAGACTGGCAAACTTCCCATGGTGTATTCGATGTGCCAAATACAGTAACAACAACAGGTCTCATTCACCTTACTCTGAAAGAGCCTCCAATTGTTGGGAAAAGATGAGTAAGAAAATGCTACTAAAATCTCAGGACAGGGAGGAATAGAGATGTTACTGTTGCCAACTCTAGTAATTCGACTGATCAACGGGATGACAGTGACAGTGACATGGTACTAAAGGTTGAAACTATGGGATCTAACTTAATATATATGAGTTGTAACAATAATATACCAATTGCTTGAAACAGGTGAAAGAACTTTGGGGAAATGAAAATAAATCATGCACAGCTATGGTTTTAGATCTCAGATATAACCTGCAAATCCTTGTTCCTGAGGATGGTCTACTATAAGGTCAGAGAGGAGGAACTGGATCCTGGGGTGACATAACAGGACTTGGGGGCTTCTTGTTACGTCATCATTTCTACACAACTCACTTAATCACTTAACTTCCCGATAGTTGTTGATTTGCTCGAGCGGGCACCAGTAACGTCTCCATTTGTCCCTGTCACGTGCTAGTGTAGCCCAATGACATCTGTTCACTCTAGGATCATAAAGAGCCTCAAACCGATCGTTCATGATCTTCACGAAGAAGTCTGACCATCTGGTAGGTGGGCGGCTACGTGGTCTTTTGACATCCCGTGGAATCCAGTCAGTAACAGCTCTAGTCCAGCGGTCGTCTTTAAATCTCATTACGTGACCAGCCCATCTGATTTTTGACACCTTGGCAAATGAGACAGCATCCCTGATTCTTGATCGTCAATGGATGTTGGAACTCCGAATTTTTTCTCTCATTTGAGTGAAACGTGATATTCCAAGCCACTCTCTTCCTCCTGCTCAGCTCGGGTGCCAGGTCATTTGTCATGTTGACTTCTCGACCTAGGTACACATAGCTGTTGCATTCGGAAATGGTCGTTCCGTTGAGAGCGAAGGGGGCATCAGGAACGAGGCTGTTTCTCATAAACATTGTCTTGGTAAGATTCAGCTGTAGTCCTACCTTTCCACACTCCCGGTCAAAGTCGGCCAGCATTTGTGCCGCTTGGCTGATGATTGGTGTTATTAAAACAATGTCATGAGCAAAGCAGAGGTGGTGTAATTGCCGACCATCTATCTTCACTCCCATTCCTTCCCATTACAGTCGTCACATGATGTGCTCGAGGGTGGCACTGAAGAGTTTCAGTGAAATGGTATCGCCCTGCTGAACCCCTCTCCTGACATCAACGATCACTTCTTTGTAGAATGGTGAGATCCTGGTAGTGAATCCACAGTACAGCTCACGGAGGATCTTGATGTACTGGGCTTGAATGCCCTGATTGGCTAGGGCTTCAATGACAGCTTCTGTCTCAACAGAATCAAAGGCCTTCTTTAAATCAATGAACGTTAAACAGAGCGGCATCTTGAACTCCCGAGAAACCTCAATGAGTTTGGTTATTGTGTGGATATGGTCGATGGTGCTGAATCCTTTGCAGAACCCGGCTTGCTCGCATGGTTGTCCTTCATCTAGTGTTCTGCTAATCCTATTCAGGATGACTTGAGTGAACAACTTGTAGATGACAGACAATAGGCAGATCGGGCGATAGTTGCCAATGTCATGGATGTCTCCCTTCTTGAACAGTAGTACGGTCCTGCTGATTTTCCACTGGGACGGAACCTTGCATTCAGACAGGTAGCGAGTGAAGAGCCGAGCCAGTGTATTGATGAGTACTGACAGCAGGTTCTTCAGGTGTTCAGGTCTGACCTTGTCTGGGCCGGGTGCTGTTTGTTTCTTTACCGACGAAATGGAGTGTTGGATTTCGGGAGGGAGAACGTTGGTAACGACATATCCATCCTGTGGAATTTTGTATGTCGGCAAGTGGACATGGCTATTGTAGAGATTTGAGTAGAAGTCATGGATAATATTCTCCATTGCCGTTCTGGAGGATGTGATGGATCCATCAGGACATTTGAGGGCAGTCATCCATGGTAACTCACAGTTCCAGAAGGCAGAATCTAAACGTTGGACATGGGAGTCTCCTGGTGGACGATTCCACAACAAAATAGACCATATCATGTTCAATCGACGGTTTTGCCTGACCGATGTTGCTGTTGTCCCAAAATTTCTAACGGAATCAGACCACCGTCTCCTTCGTGCAAAATTCTACTTCACAGAGCAGGGAGAAAGGGCTGCAAAGTTCAAAAAGAGAACTCCCAGAACGACCACCAACTGGGAACTCTTTGGCACTATTGCAGCAACATGGGAAGATGCCATTGTTGACAACATTGACGAGGAATACGATTGACTGGTTCAGCACCTCCATGAATGTGCCAGGAACGCCAAGAGAGAGATAGCCACAAAAAAACGCCTGTCTTCGAAAACTCTTGAGCTAATTTGCCAGCATGGTTTGGCGCATGCCTCGGGTAACCGCAAGCCAACGTCCGAGCTCGCAAAGCAGTGCAGAGATGCAATCAAGGAAGACCTCAAAGAGAGAAGAGGAGAAGTACTGGTAGATGCGGCAGAAGCTGGAAAAGGTATTCGTTATGCCCGCCTGTCCTTCAACACAACTATCTGGTTGCAATTAATCTTACCTACAGAATCATAATGATTTGATTAATATGTGTGACTGACAAGACATGGAGATTGTTTTACTTCAGCTCATTTCTTTTTTTAGAATATGTTAAAAGAAAACACAAGATAAACATGTGGGAGATACAGGAAGGATACAGGGACATATCAGAAGTGGATGGATGATAGATTTTGAGTCTGTTCATCAGGAACAGAAGGTCTTGGTAGTTGGCCAGTAATGTCATCTAAAAGACAGGGATTCTCAGTCTTGTCTTCACTGGAACCCAGAGAAGGTTCAATCTCCAGAAGAAGACAATCAGGCTGGGAATCACGATAGCAAATCAATATGCAAACTTAGGAGTTTTCCTTTTGGGCTCCCTCTAATAACCCCAATAGCTCTTGTTTCCTCTGGGTTAAAAGGTAGATAGTTTTCAATACAGTTTCTTTTTTGAATAAAGTTACCTTAAATGTACCTAAACCTTGATGTGCAGAAACTAACATCAACATCGTGGGCCAACTGCTTGTGTGGTGTAAGAAGGAGAAGATAGAGTATAGCTTTCAGACTCCATAATCTAATCTATGGAAAGCTATTGGATCCTGTGTGATGTGGGTTCTAAAAGTGATTTATTCACTTTTTCGAGGGAATGGTGCTGCCAGCAGGTCAATCTCTACCTGTGAGGTGAGTGCGTCAGCAGCCTTATGGCAATGTCAGGCTCTCAGACACCCCAAAATTGCTGCTGTGCCTTTGGCCAGATCCCAAAAACTTGGGGCAAAGTTTACCAAGAAAGTAAATGGCCAAATTTAGTTATGTGGGAGACACACCCACAAACCACCTCCGGCTCAGCCATATAATTGGAGGCATGGCCTCTCTGGTTCCTGATTGAACTGCTTAATGGCCATGATCCCAGAGACTCAGAAATGAATCTCGGAACCCAAAGGCTTTTGGCAGAAATGTGTCCTGTTCCTGCAGTAGGTCACTGGCGCTGGGCCACTCCAGGTGGGAATAGGTTTTGTGCCTTGGCCTGTTTCCCCTGGCAGCCTGGTGACCGCCATCCTCCAGAGGCCACAGGTTTGGGCCTGCAGTGACGAGACACATGGGGCCTCTCCACGTTGGGGTGGAGCCAACTCTTTCTCCCCATCTCAATGAGACCCCGAGTCGTCGCCTACAAACAGCCTCTCTGGCTCCTGATCAAGCTGATTAATAGCCATGATACTGGAGACTCAGAAACAAATCTTGAAACCCAGTGGCTTTTGGCAGAAATGCATCTGGACTGCATACAAGGTGGCCGCCGGCTCAGAGCTTATTGGAAAGCCAGGTATGAACCCGCGGTGATGGGGCAACTGCAGTCTCATGGGAAGGGGGGCTGTACCGGCTTGTCCTTCACGTCCTATGAGGTCATGAGTTGCCTCCCATGAGCAGCTCTCTGCCATGGCCATGGCTCCAGAGGCAAAAGGACTTAATCCAGGGCCTGGAAGCTCATGGCAGAAAAGTGAATGGTCCCTGTGTTAAACTACGGCACCATGCCTCCCTGGGAGGGAAAGGGTGTTTCTCCCTTCCATCTTTTTCGCTCCCGGCAGAAAGGTGGCCGCCACCTCAGAGAGTATTGGAAAGCCAGGTATGAGTCAGCGGTGATGGGGCAACTGCAGTCTCATGGGAAGGGGGCCGGTACTGGCACATCCTTCACGCCCTACTGAGGTCACGAGTTACCCCCCACGAGTGGCTCTCCAGCACGGCCATAACACCAGACACACAGAAACCAATCTCGTAACTATCTGGCTCTTTGCAGAAATCCAAAATCGTGGCTGCGTGACATTATATGATTCTTATAACCAGCTATAGAAAAGAAAATATTTCACAATGCCTTTTCAGCAATTCTGATTGTTTGGGGGGAAATTCTAAACAATAATGGTGCATCTTTTGTCGAAATAATGAATGTAATCAATGTAGAGAAGAGATAAGTAGAAATCATCTGCCTCACAAGCATTTGGAGGGGTGGGAGGGGGGTATACTGGGGTTCTTGGTGGTGAAAAATGAGTACTGGTGAAAGGAAAGGTGTTTGATCATTGTATGACCGAGACTTAAAACTGAGAGCTTAGAAAATTTTCCCACAGTAATTCAATATATAAATATAAAAAGAAAAAAAATAAAAGTGATTCATTCACTTTCCAGCATCGGGATAGAAAGCACCCAGCACCTCAGACCCAGCTCCACTCATGCAGAACCCTCTGTCCTTATTTCACAACTGAAACTTCGGTGCCTGAAAAGAAAGGCCAGATGATCTCTTTGCGGAAATTCTTCAGTACCTGAAAAAGATAACCCCAGTACTGAAGCCACAGGTGAATGTAACTGTGTCTCCAGCAGTTGTGACTAGTCATGGTTCTTGAGTCACCACATTCTGAGAAGTGATCCCTGAAAACAGACAGGAGACCAAGGACAGAAGATGAGACAAGGTGCAGAGTATCTTTGCCATTTTCTCCACCAACCCAGAGAGTCCCCCTAACCTATGCAGTAAGCCTGAAATGTGAGCAGAAGAGGAGTCAAGGCCATGGTGGATACAATCCAAGGCTGTGATTTGTCAGACCCCTCAGCTCAGGACCAACCTCCAAGCTCTCCTTATGCCTGCTTCTTTCTGTGGAGTTGGGGCTGTCATGCAAATGAGTTCCTGAGGGTCACTCAGCAGTGTGACCATGGCAGTGTTTCTCAGTTGTTCCAAGTCCGTGACATGTGCTAGAGGGTCCCAGTGTCTGGGGGAGTTCATCTCACTGCAGCTCTCAGAGCATGGCACATAACCCCCTCTAGTGTCTACTTAAGAAAAGATTCATTCCAGCTTGTCTTCTTTCTTTTCTTATTTTAAAATTTTATTCATTTTTTATTGCATTACTGTGAAATACAGTTAAGGACTTACAAACTTTCATAATTACTATTCAATCATACAATAATCGAGTACACATCCCTCCATCAGTGTCCATTCTCCACACCAGTGTTCCTAGTATTCCCCCTGCCACCTCCCACCTCTTCCATCCCCTGCAGCTGTGGCAGGCAAATTTTCTTTCCCTCTTTCTCTTTCCTTTCGTGTCATAATGTGCAATAGAGGTACTAAGAGGCCATCATCTTTGGTCCATAGTCTACTTTCAGCATGTATCTACCATCCTGAGCGAACCCTCCAAGCATCATATACTTAGTGCTCTATTCGATAACCCAGCTGCCTTTTACTCCAGCATGTGAAGCAGCTTCCAAGTCGTGGTGTGATACTTCTGGTCCTTATCTCTACGGTCCTTCGTTATTAATCTCCTATTATGTTACTTTACATTCCACAAATGATGCAGTCATTCTGTCTGTCCCTCTCTTTCTGACTCATAGCATGATACTCTCCATGTCCATCCACTTATATGCAAACACCATGATTTCCTCTTTTCTAACAGCTGCATAGTATTCCATTGTGTAGATATACCAAATTTTCTTTACCAGTCATCTGTTCTTGGGCACGCAAGTTTTTTTCCCAGATTTGGGCTATTGTAAACAGTGCTGCAATAAACTTGCAAGTGTAGATGTTATTTCCACTATATATTTTGCATCTTCAGGATATATTACCAGAAGTAGTATTGTAGGTCTCATAGGAGCTCAATTTCTAGTTTTTGAAGAAATGTTCAAATTGTTTTCCCAAAAGAATGGAGCAGTCAGCATTCCTACCAACAATGAAAGAGAATTCATCTTTCCACATCCACTGTAGCCCTGGTTGTACTTGTTTTTTTGATGTATTCCAGTGTCTGTGGTGTAAGATGATATCTCGTTGTTTTGATTTCCATCTCTCTGATGATTAGCCATATAATGCATTTATTCATGTGTCTTTTGACCATTTAAATTTATTTTTTTTGGAAGAAGTTTCTGTTCATTCCTTCTCTCTATTTTTTTATGAGAGGTGGAGATTTTTTTCTTGTAAAGTTCTACCAGTATCTTGTATATCCTGAATATTAAGACCATTGCTTTACTAAATACAAATAATGAAAAAGAAGAAAGAGATATTTTAAACACATTCCTGTTCAGAATAGTGCCTCAGAAAATCAAGTACCTTGGAATCATCTTAACTAAAGAGGCGAAGGGTCTATAAAAGAAAACTACAAAACACTACTTCAGAAAATAAAAGAGGACACTAGGGAATGATGATGCATCCCCTGCTCATGGGTCAGGAGGACTAACATTGTCAAAATGGCAACACTCCCCAAAGCTTTATACAGATTCAATGCAGTCCTTATAAGGACACTCATGACATTTTTCAAAGAAACAGATAAAGCACTCCTGAAATTTGTTTGGAATAATAAACCCTCACGAATAGCTATAGCAATCATTGGGAAGAAGAAGATGGGTGGCATCACTTTCCCCAATTTCAAACTGTACTACAAAGTAGTAGTAATTTAATAAAAAACAGACCCTCAAACCACTGGAACAGAGTGAATATTCTGATACAGCCTCTCAAGTATATGATCACTTAATAAAGGAACAAGAAATGTGAAAGGGAGAAAGAAAAGCCTCTTCAACAAGTGGTGCTGGGGAAGCTGGACAACTACACGCAAAAAAATTCACTCAGACCTCTGTCTAATGCCAAACACAAAATTCAGATCCAAATGGAGTAAAGACCTCAATATAAGACCTGAATCCATAAGATACATGGAGGGAAATGTAGGCATAACCCCCCATGACACTGAAGCTAAAGGCATCTTCAAGGGTGAAACACCACTAACCAAGCAAGTGGAAAGAAATATAAACAAATGGGATTACATGAAACTAAGAAACTTCTCCACATCAAAAGAAACTGACCAAAATACAGAAAGAGCTCAGAATGGGAAGTTATTTTCCCAATATGCATCAGATAGGGGCTGCTTGTCTTTTTTTTCTAGTTTCCAACCTTCATTTCTCAGATCTGGAGTTGTTAGGTCACAAATAGCTAACTCCAGTGTCAGTAATTCCCCAGACAGTCACTGGATGGATGAATTTTGAGAAGGGGGAGTCTTCGTGAACCAGCACTTTTTCCTTCTCCTTGTCCACTCTTCTTAGACAACTCGGTTGAACAGAGACTCTAAGCTCTAGAAATTTTCTGTGTTAATTGAAGTGTGTTCCCCCCCAAATTTTAGAATAATGTAGATAATTTGACATATAGGTAAGTGCTTATGTAATGTATATGTGCCTCATCTGTACCAATAACTTTTAAATTTTATATCTGAATCTTGCTTAGTTTTCAGTTCTTAAAGCAAAGCAAAACTAAAACAAAATCCCTTGTTGATAAATGGTATTGCATCTGGTATGACATCTTCATCCTATCCCAAACTTTATTGCTAGAGAGTGGGCTGCTGCAAAATCCCTGGGACTGGTTTTTTGTATTTGTAGAAGAAATAGAACCACTATACTGTGCTTGATTTGATGGACCTCTCAGAGTATCTCTTCAAGTTGCCTGTGCTGGTGTCCATGCACCTGAATATCTTGGCATTTGAGACCTCATCAGAGAGCATTAGGCAGTTCCAAGTGAATCCTCCCATTTATCCTCATCCCTAGACACTTCAGGTCTGGAATGCATCCTTATAGAATAGTGCAGAGAAACCAGTGTGAGGCATTGTGATCAGAGGCATTGCAAGATACCTCCGGCCTCCATATTTTCCAGGGAGAGAATGATTGCAGAATTTAACCCATTGCTTAAGCTTTATAATCAAAATGTAATGAAAACAATGCATTATGAAACCTTCAGCAAAAAACTAGTAGACAAGTAAAGATGCTCCATGTTTTCTTCCAATAGCTCAATGGATTATTAACAAAGTGAAATTTCAGTTCTGAAACATGACCCGATGAGTGTAGGAGCAATGGCCCCATAGTGAGAGATTGTGGAAGACTTTGAATCTGGCAGAAAATGTAAATAATATTATTGATTTTTCTCCAGGTTACCTTGATTTACAAGGAGGTAAGTTGCATCTCGAATCGCAGTCAGGTGCATCATTAGAGGCATTTCTACAGAGAGAAGAGAAAGCAGAGAACAGACTCCATGGCACAGTGCTAGAGTGGAAACAGATATTCTCCACCAATGGAGGAAACCAAACCACCAGCAAATAGCTAATGAGTCAATACTAAAGTGGACAACTCCAAAAATCCCTGCTTTAGAAGGTACTTGAAGCCTTAGGATCGATTTATGTGTTTGTTAGCATGGAGCTTATCCGGATTGGTGGCTGACAATTTATCCTGTGATCCCCAATGTAGGCAGTGTAATTTAAGCTGGTAAAGATGAATTTAGAATTTGGTCAAACTGAACAAGTTCTACTGTGGCCTGCTCATAAGAAAAACTCATCTCTACATCAAGTCTTTTGCTATGCAGATCACATGTTGTATCAATGCCCATGCTCATAATTGGAACTATATTCATCTGCAGTGATTTCTGTTCTTTAAAGTCTAGTAAAGCATTCTTTAACTACCACTCAATGAACCTGTCCACAGGTATAGAAAGTTTGAATCCACCATTCTACCACCTTATAAGTAAGTAGACAGTTCTGACTCCCCATAGATATGCTTGCAGCAAATGTACTAGTTCAAAGGTATAAAAATGACTTCGAGACACTGATCTATCATAGCTAAAAGCAAATGCAACTTATAAAATAAAAAGAAATGTGATAGAGGCTGGAGTAATAGTACAATGGATTCCGGCTTTGCCATAGAGGTAGCCAACATGAATTCCATCCCCAGCATCCCATATGGTCCATGAGTGTGAAAACTCAAAAAAACGGCAGCAGTCTATCTCTCCCGCCTCCCACTTTCGGTAGTCTCAGGCCGTTCCGCCACCCTGGGGAGGTCACAGTATTGGGCAGGCTAAGGAAGAAAATGAGGGCCAGGCTGGATGGTGTCAGTTGCAGTTTATTACAATCCCATCTCCATTCTCCTCTGATTCTCCTCCTGCTTCTTCCTCCCCCATGCTACTTCATTTCCCTTCTCGATCCCTCTTCATTCTCCTCCTGGCTCTTGAATCTGGATCTGAATCCCCTTTCTCCTTCTCCTTCTAGAGTCTGAATCCTGATCCCTCAGTACACTCTTACAGTCTAGTTAAATCCCCAAGCATGAGGGGTTGGGGTAACAATTATACATAGGTGTTGTCACAATCAATAGGGGTAAAGTACTTTCCTTCGGGGAAAGCCACTTCTAGGACAGATACTCTCTCAGCAGGACAACCCAACCTTAGAACGGAATCCCCCGAGTGTGTTTCTCCTCTTATATGTTTCTCCAACAAACATATAATCATTCATAATATTAATCATTTTGTATGGACATAGTAAGAAATACATTAAGCTTATGGAATTGATCTCCTAGGGCCATCTCAATCTCAGACTGCAGTGCTCAGTCCAGATAATCTTTCCTATCTGTAGCAGGGTCCTAGACTCACTGTTACTTTTGGATCATGATAGCATCTGTCCATGATCAAGCTCTTAACTTAGAGTTAAGAATCGTGGCACTTTGGCCTGGGTAGCTCACAGCTTGCCCTGGGTCCATTTGGTCCCTGATCGGGACCCTGCTTTTGGGTGGCTAGGAACTAAGGGCAAATGAGGGTTAAGTCAAAAAAGCAGATGCCCAGGAGTGAATAATATTCAAAACCAATTAAATCCTAAGTTACAAAGCATAATATTAACTGACTTCCTGTATCTCTACAGAAGGGACTTTACTTTAAAGTAAACTATTCAAAAGACATAAGGAGAGAAGAAAGGCAGTATTAAATTACAATACAATTTCAGTGTCTTAGAATGATCTGACCTTACAAATTAACAGATTCTGAGTAGTTGAAAATCTGATTAACTGGTTGGGAGGAGATCATAGGGCAGAGTTTACAGATAAACACAATGGAATGGAAGTGCCTCAGGAGCACTGTAATAAACCTGAGTTTCTTGTGGCAAGGAAGGGAGGACAAACCAATGCCATCCTACACCTGAGAAATCCCAAGTGTAATTTCTGAGAGAAAGGGCATGAGGAACCCCTGAGAAAAGCTGGGTAGGATGGCCTGCTCTCCCTGCAAAAACCGAAAGAATATGGTAGCTCTAGACCTTGAGAATATCTTCATTGTATCCTCACTCTGATTGTTTTGGGTCTGCTGCTGACGATCTTACAGGTGTATCTCCTAGACCTCTTACTGTCTTAACTCTTGAAAAAGACCTGGGGAACAGAATCTTTAGACCAGACCAAAGATGAATCATTACTGATAACTTGAAGTGGCTGGAAAGCATTTACAATAGAGCTGCCTAAGGAGAGGGAGACTTTAGAGCTCACTCTCAGTCTCAGTTCAGAATGTATTCTACTCTCCAATAGAGACCTGTCTGCCACTGTCTTCCCGTTGTTTATCTTTTTGCTCGAGCGGGCCCAGTAACGTCTCCATTGGAGACTTTGTTGTTACTGTGTTTGGCATATCGAATACATCACGGGTAGCTTGCCAGACTCTGCCGTGTGGGCGAGATACTGTCAGTAGCTTGCCAGGCACTCCAAGAGGGGCAGAGGAATCAAACTCGCGTCGGCCAAGTTTGCTGCATGCAAGGCAAATGCCCTACCGCTGTGCTATCACTCCAGCCCAGAGGCCTCTCTACTAGTTTGATTTTATCCCTGCATTGACACATTAATCAAGACATGTTCAGGAGTGTTCATATATACGATAATCTCAACATTATGAATAAATATCTTTAGTCTAACCCTTTAGCCTACAAATTCCACAGAAATCCTAAAAAAGCAAGTCAAGAGAATACAGTAATCCAATTCGAGCCATAGTAGTTTTAAACAAAATGAGAAAGCACAGAAATGTGCTATAAATGATGGATAAAATAAAATCTCAGAAAAAGAATGACAAGCAACTGAATCCTTCCAGGTGAGACTGGTCTATGGACTACAAACTACGGAACCCTCTTGTAATGGGGGCAGGAGAGTCTTCTTTCTGCTGTAAGATACAGCAGCCCCCATCATAATTCACAGCCCCTAGCATAGAAACTGTCCACCTCTATAAGTAATCTTGAAAATAATGAAAAGAAGAAGATGAATCTTCAGGACCTTCTTGGAAGGGGACAGGCAAATTCTCCTTTCTGCCTGAAGGCACAGAATCCCCCAGACACACTAGATACTAAGTGGCTTGGAACTTGCCCAGATTCACAACTGAACCTCATCAAGATACAAATTGTTCCAGATCCATAGATCCTGAAGGCTTTGTCCACAGACAAAGACTCCAAATTTGGTAGTCCTACTATCAGCCCAGTAGGACTACAGAAAATTTGATGGGAAAGTCGAACAGAAGACCACCAATCTCAATGAGCAAAACCAATAATACAGAAGATTCAGTTAGCAACAATCAACCCAGTAAATCCTCAGACCCTAACTTTAGTAACACCATTGTGAGACATAATTATCAAAAATTATCAAAAATTTATTTTTTGATCTGAGTTTTGATAATTCCATTTGCCTTTTCTAGAAATTCCTACTGGCACAGCTCCTCAGCCACCTGGACTGGGTAACCTGTGAGAATGCTCAAAAACATCCTAGAGGCAAAAGCTTGGATAATGACTCCAAACAATGGCGATGGACTGAAGATAGGAACCTAATGTTTCCTGGAGAACATTATAGATGAATTAAAGATTAATAATTTATAATCGACCAGGCTTGAGGATGGGAGCTTCTTTGCTACACAAAATCTATAAAGGAGTCTAACTTTTTTATTTTTTTTCATTAAATCACCGTGGAATTCAGTTATAAAGCTTTCATGTTTGAGTTTCTGCCATACAATGATTGAACACCCATATCTCATCTGTACACATTTCCACCACCAATATCCCCAGTATCTCCCCCCTTTACAAATGCCTCCCTCCCGTCTCTATGGTAGATAATTTCCCCACACTTTCTCTCTACTTTTGGACATTATGGTTTTCAATATAAATACTGAAAGGCTATCACGTTTTGTCCTTTATCTGCTTTCAATACACATCTCTCATCATGAACGATCCCTCCAAACATCATTGAGGAGTCAAATCTTTGTTCCTATTTAGAGAGTTTAGAGACCTGGATATATATTTTGCCAGAAACTGCACACAACCCATATACCATTATTTTTCCTTCCTATTAATCTTCACTTTTCTTACCACATCTTACCACATCTCCTTTTTCTGGATGTACTGATTTTTTTTTTGTTTTTATATAATCATTGCTTCTCCTGAGTAAACCTGTCTATTGACCATCAGTCAGTAGTCTATGTCTGTGATAATCAGTCACAGGGATCATTGCAATTGTCTCCTTTTACCAGGTCAACACTGCCCATCTTTATGTTGTAGTAAGCAATATGAAGTAAATATTTTTGTGCCTGCTAAGAGGGCAGGCCTGAGTGGTGGGTTATAGACATTGGAGGAGGAAAGACACACTGATGGTAGGATTGGTGTTGGAACATTGTATACTCGAAATAACTATATGTAATGAATAACTTGGTAAATCGCGAGTCATAATATAGAATAAAATTTTAAATTAAAAAATTAGTGACAACTCAAGGAGTATTTCAAATGTGATAGAATTGAGTAAAACTTAAATCTAAATGCATGGAGATCTACAGCAACTGTATAGCAAGATTATTCATAGACCCAAGGTAACAAGAACAGATTTATGTACTGGCTCATCATCTAAACGTGTCATTGTGTAGAGCACCACTGTATCCCAGCCAACAGTAGTATTCATCCTAATCCTCTGATTGGGCCTTTGAGATTATGAGGGCTGCTTTGTTCCCAAGGATAAAGCCTGAGAACCGGGTCGGAGTCCTGGAGTATTTTTTGTTTGTGTTGTAAATCATTGTTCTGGGAGTTTGACCAGACTTCTGCTGGAACCAGTATGGATAGTGACCGTCAGTGACTGCTCCAGTGCTGAAAGCACATGTGAGAACGACTGTCCCTCCTGGGTTCACAGTTAATGAAGGCCCCTGAGTCACCACAGCCTGAGAATTGGATCCTGAAATGAAAACA